TGTATGTAGAAACAGAGAGCAGGAGAGGAAAAAGAGAGATTGAGAGATTGACTGACTGACTTTGGCACCTTTTCTAACCTGTTAACTCATAGTCCAGGGGTGGAGCTCAGAAACCTGCATTTGTATTAAAAAAAAAAAAAAAAAAAAAAAAAACTACCCATGAAACTTCTGATGCACAACAAAGGGTGAAACTTTGCTGTCTTGCCCTTCTTTGTACTTCTTTTGGTTCTTTAGTTTCCACCTTCTTTCTTCTAATTTGTGTTTTCCCAGTTTAGGTCGAAGACAATTCTCAGCACTGCTTACTTTTGTCCCAGGGTTTCTAGGAACATTTTAAGTGCTTGGCTCCCAGCCCTCCACCCCCACCCCCCCAAAGAACCCATTGCCATCAAGTCAATTCTGACTCATAGCAACCCGATAGGAAAGAGCAGAACTGCCCCATAGGGTTGGTTTCCAAGGCTGTAAATCTTTATGGAAGCAGACAGCCATATCTTCCCACAGAGCGGCTGGTAGGTTCGAACCACTGACCTTTTGGTTAGCAGCCAAGTGCTTAACGACTGTACCACCAGGGCTCCTTTTGGCTCCCATACTGCATAAGAAATCTGGTTATATTTGTTTTACCGTTTGACCCGAGCGCCTCCTGATGCATTACAGCTGCCCCATTGTTCTATAGGAAGCTGACTGGTTTGCCATACAGGAATAAGTGCCAAACACTCTGGAATCGTTCAGAAAGTAGATGGTGTGAGAAAAGGAGAATTGGTAATTCCTGATCGTACTCTGGCTCACAATCCAGTGCTATTTACAGTTTACAGGCCCAGGGGGTGGGATACTGTTCTGGGCTTGGTAACTCAAAGGAATAAAACTACCTGCTGCCAAACAATAGAGACAGTGAAAAGGTTAGTGTGATTGCCAGTAGGTCAGAGGAAAGCAGGGGGGTGAAGCGCGGGATAAATAGGTAGTAGAGCACTGGGCATTTTTAAGGCAGTGAAGCTAGTCTGTATGATATTTCAATGGTTGACATACGGCATTAAGCATTTGTCAAAACCCGTTGGACTGTGTAACACAAAGAATGAACCCTAAACTATGAACTTTAGTTAATAATAATGTATCAATATTGGTTCATCAGTTATAACAAATGTACCACAAGAATGCAAGATGTTAATAGGACAACCCATGGGGCGGGGAATGAGAACTCTACTTCCTGCACTATTTTTCTGTAAACCTAAAACTGCTCTAAAAAATAAAATCTATTTAAAAAAAAACTACCTTCTGCAGACCAGGAAGGCTAGTCAGCCATCCAGGGAGTCTTAAAAAATGAAATAAAATCAGAGTGGGCTGTCCCTTGTGTTTTGCTCTCAGTCATTGGAGGAACAGTTGTTCCCGGTCTTTCTAACTAACCACAGCCTTCACCGTGTTGTCGTCAGGGTATGCCGAGTCAGCTCTGACTCATAGCGACCTTAGGTGTAATAGAACTCTCAGCTTTTAACCTTACTCTGCTTTTTCCTGAGCACTGAAAGGAATGATTTTACTTTACAGTGGCACTTCCCCACTTACTTGGGATTTGGTGGAGGAGACGTGAGCAAGAAATTTTCTTTTTGAGGAGCTTTGAAAGGAAATTGCTTCCCTTAGTAGACTATAAGCTATGTTGTGTCAGAGACCAGGTCTGTCTTACTCATCTCTTTATCCAGCACAATGCATATCGCCTTAATAGGCCTACAGTAAATGCATAATGCATGCTAGCTGTGGTAGAACCCTAAGTATTGACTTCCAGCAATCATTTTTCAAAAGGATTGTCTCTTCCTCATTAGACTGCATTATGTACATTTGGAAAAAAAACAAACAAGGATAAAAACCAAACTAAACTGAACCACTGAGTTGTACATAATCTATACCATCTTTTCCAATAGCGTTCCAGGAGCCATCTATTTTAGTATGATTTAAAATGAGTGGAGAAGGAAGGATTCCAAGAGGAGGCAGACTCTAGCTGATCTTGGAAAAGAATACCCAGGGTATGGGGAGGTCCCATCTAGAGACCAAAGACCTAAAGACCAAAATGAAGGTGGAAGAAAGTGAGAAATATGATAGTTAACTCTCTAAAGCAGAGTGGGGCCCAGTGGGGCCCCTCCACTTACCTCACTTCACCCATAGTCAGACTGCATGGGTGTTAGAAGTTGAAGGATCCTTGGCAGTCAAATAGATATTTCAGAAAGGAGATGGATTAAAGAATTTGAGGAGAGCATTGGATAAGGTGAAAGTGGTAATAGGAATGGTGCTGTTTGATTCTGAACTCACAGAGGGAAATGAGGCTGTAGGGTTAATGCCTGAAGGTAAGTATGGCTCCACCAGAGCTCAGAATGAAGTCTTCAGTGTAACTCTGGAAATGCAATATGCAGACATGGGTGCTCTCATGCAGTTAGTTGTGAGGACTGTCAAAGCCAGAACTGTGTCTGGCACATTGAGAACAGGTATAGACATTCCATTATGCAGACAGGCTAAGTACTTTCGTGAAGATATTTTGAAAGCCAATTGACATTTGTGGTTAAACAGTAAATGCTTATCCTTGGATCTTTCCCAATAGCTACTTCATATATATAGTCCTTATTTATTCTAAAATAGTACTGTTTTAATAAGAAATAATTATCAATAATTGTTATAATTATTTGACCTATTGGTTTTCTTCCTTGCTTTAAAAACAGGTATTCCCATTTTTAAGATTAAAAAAAAAAAAAGCTTTATCTCCGTTAAAATTTTAAACATAACAAATTCTAAAATCTACAGCTTACTCTTTTAAAAATATATCTGTAAAAGCAACCCAAAGATATTCTTTATGTTCCTGATGACTTATATTGTCCTAGTTTCCTAGACTTTAATATCTTTGTCCATCACCCGTTCTACTTTGCTGAGGTCTTTCTCTTCTTCTCTACCCTCTTTTTCTTTTTTTGTAGTAGACCTTTTAAAACGCATTTTAAAATTCTTTTTATGTTAGGGAAAGAGAAGAAAAAACCTGTGGAGGCTTTTCAAAGATTTTACAGACTTTGAAGGTTAAAATTTTTTATACCGTTTCTCTGAGATTTTATTTTTATTTTATCATTAAAAGTATTCCCACAGGTTTTTCATATATACTGTTTCTTATTGCAGTGGATTTTTTCTGTGGTTGGCAAATTATTTTTTAATTATTTTAAAAATACAAAATTATAACTGTTTCTAAATGCCTTATTTCCATTTACTAATTTCTTTTTTAAATATACAAACCCAAAATATCATCCTGGCCCAGAGCAGTAAGCCAGTTACCTAGTTTCACCCATGCCTGTTTGGGATTTTCTTGGTTTTGTTTGTTCTGTTTTAAAGTGTCAATCTTTATTTCTAGTATCATTCATGAAATAAAGGAATCACCCTTTCTTGATTTAAATGTCATTAGTCTTCAGGTCCCAAGATTTATCTTCATTACAAATTTAATCTAAAAGAAAAAAAAAATTCTTTAAATCACCTATCTCTGTACCTTTGCTGTATTCCAGACTGAGATGTAGCCAGTTAAGTCTCTAGCCTTGAGTATGCCAGTTAAAGTTTTGAAATATTTTTTCTTAAAAATGGAAAATTTTCTTGTTTTACCTACTTTATGGGATGAGAGTAGAAAGCTGAAAAAGTATTTAATAAACTATAAAATGCTATATGAATGTTAGTGCTATATATGCTAGGGATTGTCAACTGTTTAGAAGGTGATTATTCAAGCTTTTAAGTTATTCCTATCCTGGATGCACAGTATAAGTTGACCTCAGCTATAAAAGTAGGAGTAATATATCTACCTCTTAGGGTAGTTGTGAGGATTAAATAATATAGATAGTGTGTTGAATGATTTAAAAGAATTTGTAAAGCAAGGGACTCAGCAGGAAAGTGCAACTTTCCAAATTAGCTAGATCAAGGGAGAGAATTATAAGGGTGTAGTTTTCACATGAAACCTTGGCACCACTCACATTGTTAAAATCTATTTCCTGAGGTATTTTTTAGAAGTCAAGAATCTCAAAGTTAGATTTGGGAGGTACTGTCTTCTGGGGTATCTAGAGCCCATGAAAATAATTTTTCTTAAAACAGTAATCTAGTCCAAGCAAAGCAATACAAACTAGAAGAAAAATGACGAGACAACTATGATTGGAATCTTTGCTTTTCCACCCTACTGCCCACCTCCTTTCCCCTACCTGTTTGTTTTTATTAGATAAAATGACTTTGAGCATTACTAGCATGCTGTTTTTTACAGCTGAAACCAGAGATGACAAGCTAAAAGAGACAGCAATTAGGCAAATGTTTTGACCTAAGGATGATAATTTATTAATTTATTTGGTTAGTCAACAAGTATTTATTAAATGTTGGTTCTCTGAGTACTGGCAACCCCACCACAGAATCTCTGCCCTCTAGGAACATACAGTCTATTGATATCGTATAGTTTGATAAGTCATCTAACAGAAGTAGATACCAAGTGTTGTGGGAGCACAGACTTGGGTTAGTGAAGGTTTCCTAGAGGAAGTATACCTGGCGTAAGCTCTGATGGGTAAATAAGAGTAGGGAGTTAGGAGTATTCTAAGAAGAGGGAGTAATACAGATCAAAGCCTGGAGGTAAAAGAAGCATGGCTGAAGTGTGGCCTACAGGAAGTGGGACAGTTGGGGTTCGAACTGGGAAAACGTTAGTTGAGTATTACCCCAAGACTTGTGGGTAGGAGTTTGTGATGGGTAAGAAGAAGGTAGATTGTCAGCGATTTGATGGTTCGCTGATTTTGGTTTAATCTCTTTGGATGCCTAAAGGACTCATAGAGTGTGAGATAGAGTTTCTAGAGAAGAAGACCTTTTATGTGGTAGGATCAAAGCTGATGTTCAACATCCTAGTCTTCCCAGGGTGGCCTGTAGGCAGCGTGGCCCTTACCCATATAAATTTCCTAATACCTAGTACCTGATAATAGGATAGAACTCATGTTACCTAATTGTAAGCCCTTCTTTCTTACTCTCTCTTTCAGGCACCCTAGGATACGTTTCCACACAGGCCTTGTGGACGCCCACCTCTACTGCTTGAAAAAATACGTCGTGGATTTCCTAATGGAAAATAAGTAAGAAAGTGGGAGGTGGAGCCAAACTGGCAGTGCGTAACAGGCTACCTTGTGACTTAGTAGTTTTAAACCTTGATAATATTAGATATTCAGTCTACGTAAATAGCACAGTTGATGCTCACTTTTGTTTTAGAAACGAAATCATGTTATCAGCATATTGTTCTTTTGTCTGTACCATAAAGTCTCTTGCTTGAATTTTTGGGGCCTGCAATAATAAGCTAAGCAAAATATTTTTGTAAAACTAATAGTAACCCGTGATGCCTCTTTCTGCGTAGTTCCAGGCTCTTTTTACCTCCCCCTGCGAAGGTGAGCTCCTTAGCTCTTGTTCTTTTGCCTCCAAACAGATGTCCTCCCCCTAGGCAATTATCCTATAGATGGGCCCTCACAGCAAAGGGCCAGAGACTTGCCCCAGAGGAGGAAGTAAAGGGAGCAAATCTCCTCCAATTCTGAAAAAGAAGCCCAGTCCACTGAGTAAACTTTCATGAATGCAGAAAGACAAAGCTTGGTACTTTTTCTGATTTTGCGGAATTGTGAGTCTTAAGTACTTCTTAGAGACTGCGTCTGGTAGATCACAGGACTTAGGATGCCAGAAGGAAAACCTCCTTCTGCAGCTGGTCTCAAGGATTTTTAATAGGAGATGTAACCGGAGGCCTCAGGGGAACAGGTAGGAAGACCTTTGATAATTGCATGGGTAAGAGAGGAGTATCTTGTCTCCCTTGATAACTGCTGGATGAGTTCCTGCATTGCCTTGAATAGTACTGGTGGATGGGAAAGCAGGTGGGCTGGGTACCACAACAGCAAACTCCCTCAGACCAGCTGGGGAAGGGAGCCTGAGGACCTGAGTTTAAATGCTAGCTCTGCCCTTGGCTGATGGACGTAAAATATATACAGGAATGTTAGGGAGAAGGAGGAGTGTTCCTCGGTGCCAAGTATGATATTTCTTGCAGATCTAACCCCCATGACATGCTAAGCCCCAGTGGGGAAGGTCCATGTACAGCTAATTATAAATGAATCATTTGGATTCCCAGAAAGCTTTCCCAAATATTGTTTATTTATTTTCCCTCCCCAAGGCACTCTTGCCCTGCTCCTCTCTGACTTGTTACTCTGTTTTTTTCATTCAATCAATAAATATTTATTAAGCATGTATAATAAGCCAAGCATTGTGCTAAATCAACATTGGAATCGACAGTGAATAAGCAGACATGGGCCCAGCCTAAGCTCCACAGTGGATCGTGGAAATGTTGCTTTTTAGATATTAGGGAGACTTACTGCTAAGATTTAGAGAGTAATCCAAGACCTGTTTTTCAGTTGCCAGGCTAGGCCATACACATTCCAAAAATGAAGTTAACTGTTGGCCATTGAAGGGTTTATTTTTACTCCCAAATGAAAATGAAGCTATATGAAATAGACCCTGATCTTGATATGATAGGAAGGAATGCAACAGTGGTAGAGAGATCGTGACTATTTTTTAACTACTTACTATGGAAATTTTCAAAATTTTGGAAAATACCAAAGTAGAGAAAATAAAAATAATAAACTCCCATGTATCCATCACACAGTTTCAACACTTATCAACTCATGACCAATCTTGTATATGTACTACCACCCATCTCTCTACTGTCACCACTTGATTATTTTAAAGCAAGTCATTATGATATAATTTCATCTGTAAATATTTCAGTATGTATCTCTAAAAGATAGAGTTTTTTTGCTTTGTTTTGTTTTCTTAAAATCTCAGTACAGTTATCAGACCTAAAAAAAAAAAACAAAAAAAAGCAGTGCTTTCTTAAGACCATCAGATGGGCTTGTGACTTTTGGTGTTTGGATATGCAGGCAGTTTTGCACCAAAACTAGCCTCAGCCTGGCTGCTACAGCTCTTTTGTAGTTAATTTTGCCACCACCACCTAGATCCCACACCTAGCACGTACAGTGCAGTGGTATGTGCCATGAGGGCAAGCCTGAAGTTGGTGAGATACACCTGTGATTCCTGGCCAGCAGCTCTGCCAAGTGGTACTTTCCCACAGTCTGCTGCAATAGAGAATGACACAGAGTCATCAGCTTAGTCTACCTTCCCATGTCAAGATCTTTAAAGGGACCCTATCTTTTTCCTCCCCCATGCCCTGTTCACCTCTCAGAGTTCTTGAGATTAAAGGACATATATTAAAAATTGATAAATTCTAATATATCGTCCTCAAGGCATGTTGTTCCTCCCTCTTTTACAATCCAAGCCTCAGGAAGCTGGTCTGTTTGGAGGTCTAGAAGCCCAGGTATCGGCCCAGCTCTTTACTTTCTCCTGGGCTGGTACTGGCTCTATAAGGGACGCAAGCGATATGCCAGCTCGCTAAGCTAAAGCCCTGGAAAACAGGCAATTTATACCACTGTTAGTCCTGATTTCCTTTTAGCATAGAAACCCAAAAAAAGTTGCCTTTCTTTCCCTTTCTTAAAAAAAAAAAAAAAAAGCAGTTACCATTGAGTCAATTCTGACTCGTGGCAACCCCATGTGTATCAGAGTAGAACTGTACTCCATAGGGTTCTCAGTGGCTGATTTTTCGGAAGTAGATCACCAGGCCTTTCTTCCAAGGCACCTTTTGGTTAGCAGTGAGCACATTAACTGTTTGCATCACCAAAAAGAACGGAGTTGCCATCGAGTTGATTCCAACTCATGGCAACCTGTGTGTTTCAGAGTAGAACTGTGCTCCATAGGGTTTTCAATGGCTGTGATCTCTCAGAAGTATATTGCCAGGCCTTTCTTCTGAGGTGCCTCTGGAAAAATTTGAACCGCCAACCTTTTGGTTAGTACACAAGCACTTAATTGTTTGCACCACCCAGGGACTCTTTAAAAAGACTTAGAGGAGATTAATCTTCCTAAAATTTTAGAAAGAATTGAAGCTGAGTATTTCCTTCTTGTCCAGAAGAATCCAAGGTTACAGTCAACTTCTTCTAGTGTTAGAACCTGATCCTGCTATGCAGGATGTATAGTATTGGGGTTTGGCCTTCAGAGCAGGGAGAGAGAAAGAGAAGAAAATTACCTCTAATTTAGTACTAACCATGTGTAGGATCACTATGAGTCGGAATCGACTCGACAGCAATAGGTTTGGTTTTTTCTTTTTTTTATGTGCCAGCTACTATTCTGTGTGATTTTCACACATTAGTTCATTCATTCCTTAAAATAGTTATCCATGTTGGTATTATCCTCATACTACAGATGAGGAAAATGAGACTCAAAATCATTTTCTCAAGGTCATGTAGTCAGAGCCCCTGGTAAAATCAGTTACTGTTTGTTATGGATTGACTTCTGTCCCCCAAAAATGTGTGTCAACTTGGCTAGGCTGTGATACCCAGTACTGTGTGATTGTCCACCATTTTGTGATCTGATGTGATTTTCCTATGTGTTGTAAATCCTAACCACTATGATATTAATGAGACAGGATTAGAGGCAGTTATGTTAATGAGGCAGGACTCAATCTACAGGATTAGGTTGTATCTTGAGTCAGTCTGTTTTGCGATAGAAAGAATTGCGCAGAGAGAAGAGGCACCTCCTACCACCAAGAAATAAGAGCTGGGAGCAGAGCACGTTCTTTGGACCCAGGCTCCCTGCGCTGAGAAACTGCTAGACCTAGGGGAAGACTGATGACAAGGACCATCCCCCATAGCCTACAGAGAGAAGAAGACTTCCTCTGGAGCTGGCACCCTGAATTTGAACTATTAGCCTCCTAGACTGTGAGAGAATAAATTTCTGTTTGTTAAAGCCATCCACTTGTGGTATTTCTGTTATAACAGCACTAGATAACTAAGACACCATTGATGAAATGGTTGCTGGCAACATCCACCACAGATATCAGAGATCTCTCTATTACAGACATACATACATATACATACACACATGCACACACCTCTGGGAGGATCGAAGCAGTCACAACTTCTTGGCCTCAGCTACTTAGGGATGCAGAGGATTGAGGTTGGTCCCCACAAAGTGAAGCCGGGAGTTGGGATAGGCAGCCATCCTGCAAGGTCAGAATTAGGATAATAATTAAAGCCACATGCTAGATGAGGTCAGAGACTAGCTAGAAAGCCATGAGGAAGCATAGAAAAGCAGAGTGAAGATAAGAAGCAGAGATTAGGGACCATGTAGTGTCATAAGAGATAGGCAATAGCCTTGATTCCTTACTGTTCTGTTCAAGCATCCATGTGACTTGGCTGTACTTGGTTTCCTGTCCTTAGATGTCCTAAAGATTGCATGATATGTCCTTTACTCAAATAACAGAACAAAATTAAGCCAAGAGCAGACAGCTGACATGCCTTCTCACTGGGGCTGTGATGTGATGACTGAACACTGACATCTGAAGATACAGGTGCTGTGAAGATTAATTCAGGGATAGTCCCCTTTGAACTTCTTGTTACATTCATTTTGATCTCTAGAACTTCTGCAGGAGAACTTCTGGAAATCACCAGCTACTGGGGAGGGAATGAAGGTCTAGCAGCCCATTGTACTGACTTATAAATACAGATGAGTCCCCCAGTTGAGAACTAGCTTGAAGGAGGCATGGGCCACACTAGGGCAGGAAAGAGAACTTTTTTAAAAAGGATTTACAAACTGGCATAATATTTATAATTAAAGTGCTCCAATGAAGGAGCATCATAGAACCAGAAAAGAAGAAGAGAAGTATTTAGTTTGGTAAGGATTTAAAAATAATCTCTTTATAAGTGTAATGCCTAATTGGTGTCCTTTCCATCTTTCTTCCTTTCCTGGAAAATTCCTAAATAGCCATTAAAACTTGCCCAGATGTTACCCCTTGTAGGAAGCTTTCTCTTAAGTTTTTTTTCTCTTCACCTTCACTTAGATTAGGTACACTTGCTCTGTGCTACCATAATACTCTGTATGTACTTATCTTCATCAGGCATAATTAATTAATCATTCCCTTTTCTGATCTTGATTAATCTTCAATTATTACATGTATCCTATTAAATTGTATTTACATGCCTGTCTTTTTTGCTTTTTT